TATATATATATATATATATATATATATAGTATATATAGTATATATATATATATATATATATATATATATATATATATATATATATATAATACATATATATATATATATATATATATATATAATCGATAGTATGGGAGTACCTGCTTTCCATCTCGGATGGTGTTCTGGCATTTGTCCAGTTTCTCGGTCTGCCAGCGGGAGTTGACGCTTTGCAGATCAATGCGTGAGATGTTTATGAGCAGATGAGGCAGCCGTATGTCTGAGTCTGCGTCTGTGCGCCTGTGATGTGCGTCCTCCATTCGCGGTGTGGCTTTGCACAACACCACAATTGAACGAATCTGATTGGGAGATAGGACGGAGTGGGATGATACTTATAGATATGGAGATTTACAGTAAGTGAAACGCCCATTGGGAGTTACAATGGAACGGAATGATGAGGATTGGTATATACAAGGAAGTTATAAGTTGGGCCAAATGGCAGGGCAGGAATTCTTTAAGCCATTTGCAGTCGGAGATCGGACGAGCCGACTCGATACGAAATGAGCCTCATGCGAGAATAGCAGCCAACAATGCAACAAGAAGTACAATATCATCCAAAAGGAACCCCAACTCATCGCATGTGCCTAAACCTAAATGAAGGGCAATTCCCAATGGCGCAAAGCAATATCAAAAGTACACATGAGTCGGGACTAATATTAGAACAGCCGTGATAGGATTGCTCACTTACTTGAATAAAGCGATATCAAAAGTACATAAGAGTCGGGACTATAATTAGAACAGCCGTGATAGGATTGTTCACTTACTTGAATGGAAATGCCGTCAACCATTTTCTCAATCATCCCGTATTTGGTGGGCACATTCAGTGCTTCTGCCGCCTATATCTCATTACGGAAGCAACAAGACAAACAAAATCAATGGTGAACAAAATCTCTCTCACACACCCCTTTATACACACCTAACAAACAATTGTAAGCTAAGGGCGATTAAGAAACAATCAACAGATAATCAGGCAACTCTTAAGAGCAACCGTGTGCACACAATCAGCACACAACCACACTCTGTCACCTTTACACGCTCACGTGTTACCACAATAGATATCCCTCCGAGACAAATAAGAGATCCGAAGGGAGTCACTATCGAAGGTAAAGGCGGTCCCTATATCTACCCCCCAGAACTGGGGAACGACCTCTTGAGGGTGGATTTGAATCTAAACTCGCACAATTGAGACCAAAACAACATAAAACTACCTATATACATACACATACTCTATAATTTATGTATACACACTCTCTATACCCCGTCAACAACCCTCCCAGGATGTATTTACCCATCACACAAGTGGGTGAATCTGCAATAAAGCCTCTGACATTTCACTGTTTATGTACTGTGATTGTTAAGCCCGTGTGAAAGTACTATATCTTGTGCTGGATTCTGAAAACTCGTTACCCACCTTCGGCACAATGGAGAAGAATGACAAAGCGAAGTGTATGTAACAGAGTATTTAAAATACAATTGTATACCACTATATTTATACATACAGTGAAGGCTATACGCTTTCGACAAGTATATATAAATAGGGACAGAGCAGACACTGTGATTCTAGTTGTCTTTTGAGTACGCATACAGAAGTATACAACCTACCGCTTTCTGCTGGTGCACGCGGGATGTGTCGTTGGACAACTCAATCTGTACCGTCACTCCATCCAGAACTATGGAGATGGGCTTGGACGACAGCTTAGTCCAGTGGATCTTAATCTTAACCTGAAATCGGGTTGCATTCGATGATGTTGAGTTTTGGGTACAACAAAAACGGCCACACAGATGAGCTAACGGGCAAAATAAATTTGGTCACCGAATAGAGCACCCTATACGGTTTGTAATTTGGGGTGGGCAATAAATTACCGTGATTTTTATATGACCTGCGATCTCACAGATACCTTTGGGCAGATAATGGCACTTCCCAGCGACTTCCATTGAAAATGGTCAATTAAATGTAACTGAGTCATGAGATTACCAATCGATTAGACAGAATAACGAGGGCACACTCGTTCAATACGAAGTATTGTAGGATAATCAAAGTATGAAAAGGTGAAAATGGACATACGGCTCGTCGTAGGTATACAAGTCTATTTATGTGTGTACACAGAATCTTGCACAAAATCATACCTACAAGGCAGATTTTGAATTAACACTGTATGTTTAAGCGTACACTACACAAATAAAACATCCGAATCTATCTGCTGGTACAATACGATATATATATATATATGTATATATATAGATATATATATGTACGTCTGTTGTATATATATATTTATATATATATATATATATATATATATATAGTATATATATATATATAGTATATATATATATATATATATATAGATATATATATGTACGTCTGTTGTATATATATATTTATATATATGTGTGTGTGTGTGTTTGTATGTATTGTGTGTCTGTGTGTTTGGGGGGGGGGGGTGTCTGTGTCTGTGTGAGTGTGTGTGTGTGTGTGTCTTTGTGTGTGTGAGAGAGTATATATGAGTATATATATAGAC